AAAAAAAAAAAAAAAAAAAAAAAAAAGATTTATTTTGTTCTATTCTTAGCTTGCTAATATGGGCTGGAGGTTTGCCAAATTGGCTATTGAATAACGTGCCTATTTCACTTTTACTCTCTATACAAAGCCAAACATATTCACTTACCAACTTACATATAACATAGTTTTTTTATTAATTTGCTTTGTACCTGACTGTAGATAATTATTTTGGTCTTGATACTGAGGAACCAAATGAAGTGCTTTGAGTTCTCTTGTCCCAGAATTATCTATACACAGCATTTGTGTACCCCCTTTCAACTGACAAATCACCTAAAATAAAGAATAATGATCAGGTTGCGTTTTCAAAAGATAACTCTAGTCATATGAACCTAAAGAAACTTAAATCTGAGAAAATAGCTTTGATCCAGAATTTAAGTTTTAACGAAAGATGGAAAATTACAGATTTGTTTTCAATTTCTTACTCTACAATACTATGCTCTCTGGTACAAAAGGGCAAAAAAATCTCCAAGAGACGCTTCCTTCGATGAGTCCAGTGTGCTCAGAGAAGCTCCTGTGCGCGTCTTTCTCCACAGGGGTCTGACCAGTGAGATCAGGTCAGGAATCAGGCAACTCTGCCCCAGAGCCTCCCCTGCCCTCTCCTTCATTCCATGTCCGCGTGAGCGGGAGTGTGTGCCGTGCTGCTGACTCCTGGCCTACTCAGACCCGAGTAACACTCAGAAGGACTGCGTCCCTACTCCCTCTCTGCAGCTGGGCACATACCTCGTCTGTAATTTTGCTACACCTCTTCTCTCCTGCTACACACACATTATTATTTAACATGTGGGGTTCTTTTAATGTCTCTGGACAAAGAGACCGTCAGGATGAAATGGGGAAAGCGAGGAGGAGTCATACTTTGTCTTTTGCCTTAGACTCCAAAGGCCAATAAAACCACATCTGGATTTTATTTTACTTTCTGCAAACACAGCTTAGACAGGTTAATCCTCACACTGGAAAGTTCTAAGAAGCCGTGGTGGTCTTCCTGGGCCTGATGCACACTGCCAGATCGTTCGTTTAGATTCTGACCACAAACAGAGCCTCGGCAAGCCAAAGGAGTGTGCCAGTCAATCCCATCAGCCAAGCAAAAACATGGAAGGAGCTCACTGCATGCCCAGCCCTGCTCCAGGCCACGAGGCGGGACACAAAGGCCAGAGAAACCGTGGCTCCTGCCCGCACACAGCTTCTGATTCCAAAAGCAGATCCACAACTACAGAGAAGCTGCAGTTTCCACAGCTGCTTATAATCTAGATAAGAAAACCCAGAGATGCACAAAGAATAAATGTTGTCAAAATAACCTGCATAGAGCCTACTATGGTAACGAGGCATGGATCATTAGGTCAGAACGTCACATTATCCTGATGTTCGATGAGAAGCCAGCATCTGTGTTCAGCTGGAATTGTATTTGTATTCAGAGGACAAAGTTATAGCCACACTCCCCCCTACACACACACACTAGGGGAAAGGCTCAGAGTGGACTCTCCCGACCTCTCTCTCTTGCACCCTCTGTGCCCTACCACCTGGGAGCCTCCGCCCTGCCCTCTGAGGGGTGCACTAACATCACTCTACAGGCTAGGATTGGAGCATTCCCATTCTGCTTATCCGCTTTTGCTGACCCATGTTCTCAGAACCCTGGCCCTAAGGAACCACAGAGAGGCAAGTGCCAGTGTCTGCCATAACTAGGCCAAAATTCACAGTGAGCTTGTTTTCAAGTATCTGCTTGTTCAAATCTATGCCTTACAGTTGGGGTCTTCTCTCTAGGAATAAAGAACTGCGGGGCAAAGGGAGTCGTGGTTTTCAGGACTCTCAGCACTTTCCTAAGGGACCCCTAGGGCGGTGCTTAACGGCTCTCCCATCCCAGTCTGCACCACAGTGAGACATGGAGTTCTAGACCCACCACTAAACTACAGAAACTCATGCAGGTGATGTCACTTCTCCATTTTTCTTATCCACAAAATGGGGATAGAGTACTTAACCTACAGTTGTTAAGAGGATTACATGAAATAACAAAGGTGGGAAAAAAATAGTACCTAAACCACAGATATGACTGATTACACACCCTATACAAGCGTTAGCTGTTATCATTAGATTTAGAGGCATGAGGGACGGCAGCCCACTCTGCCCCGAAGCCACAGGGCCGCAGTCCCTCCCTCACCATATGAGAAGCCACATGGCCCGGCTACGGTCCCCACCCCAGTGCCCAGCCCTCAGCGCTGTGCTGACTGATGTGTGTTGTGCTTACTCAACTTAACAAATGCAGCAATGTCCTAATCTTTGTTTGATTTGCTTAGACTGAGTAGAAATGAGAATCTTAGAGGTGAAATGTGAAAGGCTATAGTTGACGTCCCTCCTTTGATGAGACAAAAAGCTTCATTCAACAAGTACACAGAATGAAAAACAATGACTGAAATAATCTATTGACTTAGTACTGATAGGAGTCCAACATTTAATGTAGCTAGTCAGACACATTTTCTTTGGCATAATTACCATTGGGTTGGACTCCTTCTTAAGAGAACAGCTGGAGGTGTCCTCTGGTTCTTGGGACGATGGGAACTTGCAACAGGAATCCTGAGTGAGAGCATTCTGGAAAGTCGCTTCCTCTGGATTGCTGCTTGTAATAGTACCACCTGCTTCCTTGATTTCAACCTTAAAAAAGCAATCGTTATTTCAGAGAGCATATTGTGGATACTGGCTCTTGTAGTTGCATGATATGGAAAATTTAAATGAGTTGTGTGTAAAAGTTACATTTTAAAGTAAACAGTGCCCTCACGTGTAATGTTTCGCTTCCTCACTGGAGCTTCTAAAACTGTTATTCTCCCTACAGGACAAGAAATCATCTGACCAGCTCCTTGCGGAGTGAGGACACCATCTGTCCATGAGGTGTGGAGATGTGATTCTGATGTGGTACTTATGCTGTTTTCAAAATATGGTCTAGGCCAGGCACAGTGGCTCGCGCCTGTAATCCCAGGACTTTGGGAGGCCAAGGCAGGAGGACTGCTTGAGCTCAGGAGTGTGAGACAAGCCAGAGCAATACAGTGAGAGCTCGTCTCTACAAAAAGTTAAAAAAAATTAGCTGGATGTGATGGCGTGTACCTGTAGTCCTAGCTACTCAGGAGGCTGAAGCGGAAGGATCGCCTGAGTCCAGGAGGTTGAGGCTGCAGTGAGCCGTGATCATGCCTGGGCAACAGAGTGGGACCCTGACTCAAAAATAAATACATATCTACACAGAATTGAGTGTTTCAAAATTGGGACACTTCTTTTAAAAATCTGATAAAAGCTGGGCTCGGTGGCTCAGCCTGTAATCCCGCGCCTTGGGAGGCTGAGGTGAGTGGATTGCCTGAGTCTGTGGGTTGGAGACCCGCCTGGGCAACTTGGCGAGACCTCATCTCTACAATAAATCAAAAATTAACCGGGCATGGTAGCGCACGCCTGTAATTTCGGCTACTCAGAAGGCTGAGGTGGAAGCATCGCCATAGCCCAGCAGGCGAGGCTGTGGTGGCCGGGAGCGGCCGCTGCACTCCAGTCTGGGCGACAGAGTGAGACTCCAACTCAAAAAAAATAAAAATAAAAAATAAAAATCTGATAAAAATAGAAGGAAGATTGCAAAACAGCCCACATTGTGTGTCCCTCTGTCACCTTCGCCTGCCCAGCAGAGGATACAGGCAAGCATCCCCAGAGGCCAGAAGTTTACAGGCCACAGAGTCCTTTAAACAGACAGTGGGTCTAAGGCAACAGTCCCAAAACCTCACATAAAATTACGGAGCAGGTTACTAGCTTTCAAAATGTCAACGTCGACTCAAACTTGGAGATTGTCTAACCTAATATAATCAGAGGCCCAAACAAATAATAATTACCACATAGGGGCAAATTACTCAGCAGGGCAGATTATCGTCTCTGTATAAATCTTAAAAGAGATGAAGGATAGCTATATCTCAGGTTATAGCTTTATTTAGAGATTTCCAGTCTTATGGAAACAGAAAATTTAAGATTTTCTTCCACTCGCTGCTCTGGGGACTTGTCATGCACATGTCATCACAGTTCAGACTGAGCTTATCTCACTGTAATCAACAAACACTAATATAATAAGTATATCATTCCCACAGTGCTGTGCAACTGATATCTGAGCTACTTACAGTAAAATTCCACTTTTACAGAATGGCTCTAAACAAAGGTCAATACGTGAAAATGTATTTCTAGAAAAATGAAATTAGCAATGCACCCTGGATATTTACTGAAAAATAATTCCATTCTGTTTAAACGACAGACATGTCCGAGCTGTAACTTTTTCATTTTATTAATGAATCAGAAAATAAGTCTATAAAAATTCAAAAGGCCACGTCTCTCCTTTATTTTGTCCAACCAACAATCTGTTAAAATCGGATTAAGTTAAAAGACAGTTGAGCCGCCTTTAACATCAGCGAATTCCTTTCCTGTTCTGACTAATGCTCACTGACTCCAATTAGTAAGGAAGAGCTGAGTCAGGACCAGCAGGGAGCAAAGCCTGAAGTCCCACCTGGCAGCAAAATGGAGCTCCCGACGCTTCAAGAAGGTTCTGAGGAAGAACCCCGCACTGGGAGAAGGCTGGAGTCCAGCTCGCTCTATGGCTCCTCTAAAGACAGACAGGATGGTGGAGGCCCCAGTCTCGGTCCCTCCTTTTCCTTTACACTAAGGAGCAGCAATTGTGATGAAAGAAAACCAGAGAGCCGAAATCCAGACTCTTGCTACACCAGGTCAGGCTCCAGCCTCTCAACACTGACTCCAAAATGTTCCCCAAAGGCTTGATCTACAACTAACTAAATGGACTTAATGGAGGAGTAATCTAGTTTTCAAAGCTGGATACTCAGGGGGTGACCAGCACACATTTTCTTGGGATCCTCTGTTTCCTTCGACAACTGATTTGTTTCAGCAAGAACAAAGGAGAAGGTTACCACTGGTTATTCACAGCTAAAGATGGTTGTTTAGCTGAGAATGGCGAGAATTCATTTAGACTCAGAGCAACCACTTATTAGAACCACAAATATTAACACTGAATCCTTGCTGATAAATTATTACTATTACTGAGTTGGAGTCTCACTCCGTCGCCCAGGCTGAGGTGCAGTGGCACACTCATGGCCACCCCAGCGTCGACCTGCTGGGCTCAGGCGATCCTTCCACCTCAGCCTTCCAAGTAGATGGAACAACAGGAGTTTGTGCCACCATACCTAGCTGATTTTTTGATTTATTGTAGAGACGAGGTGTTGCCAAGATGCCCAGTCTGGTCTCGAACCCGCGGGCTCGGGCAATCCTCTCGCCCCAGCCTCCCAAAGTGCTGGATTACAGGCTTGAGCCACAGCGTCCGGGCTGATACATTATTACTACAAGCCTGATACATAAGTGGAAATTTTAACATGTGCAGCGCAAACGTCCCAACACTCAATCACATGGCATTTGTTTGCCCAGACACTGGCTACTCTAAACAGAGCTTCCTAAGCCAGTGGCGGCAGGAGGGCCGGGTGACCCCTTCCCCTCCTGCTTGGCTGCTGTCTGCAGTGGGCCAGCCTGGCACCGCTGGTCCAGGACGTCCTGGCTCGGGTGTCAGCGCTTGGCTGGGCAGATGAACCCACGGGAATCAGTGTGCGGAGAGACGACGCCTGGGGGGACGTCGCGGGTGGAGCGGAGCTGCCGGGAGGGGTGGGGGCGCGCGTCTCCCCAGACGGCT